TTTTAATGAGCTTGAGAAGTCACTTCAAGATAGAATTAGTGATGCCTGTTTGCTTTTATATTGCAATCTGGATATTTTGTCGTCAGTTCTCAGCAAAACTGGCTTGCAAAAGGAGTTTCCTTTTCAAGGTATGCAATACGCACATAGGGGAGGGCTTACAAAGCTCTACTGGTTCATTCTGTGGTCACACTGTAGCGTGTGACCCTGTTCCAGACCTGCTAGGTGTCATCAGTGGCTGACTGATGTTTCTGCCCCCATTTTGTGTATTCTGCTCTCCCATCTTTACTGTGAGGTCTTGTGGTAGTATTTGTATGGAATGGTTAGTAACAGTTAGGGGGGCTGCTTTTATATGATGGAAATTCAGGGAGGTATTGGTAGTCATGAGAAATAATGAAAAACATCACCATGGAGAGTGAATTTCATATCAGTCACAAACTGCACAAAAAAAAAAAACAATATACTGCTTAGGAAAAGAAAGAAGAGGAAACAAAAGAAAAAATGTAGTAGCGTTTGGTGGTCTAAATTATGCAGCATACAGGATAACAACATGCTGTGTTCTGACTTAAGTGAGTGATGAATTATTGTTCATGGTTGTTTTTCTGCCCTCTTTTGTGACCAACTAGTTGTTAACTGCAGCTGAGTGTTGGAAGAGGGGACAATGGGTTTATTTAAAGCATGAAGGCTTCCCCACATGGATCAGGGGACAATGGAACAGCCGTGGTGCCAATTACAGATTTAGATGCTTAATTACTTTAAAAATTATTCCTTATGCTTTATTATCATTGTGCCTTTGCTACCACTGAAATTATATAAGCATAGCATACGCAATACTCATTTAATCTGTTAAATGCCAGCTGTTAATGTGATTACATGCATTCATTAACTAACCAGTTAAAGCCATCTCAAATTCGAAGCAGCCACTGAAGTTCTGATGATTTTTTTTTTTTCTTGATAGCAAAGTATGGAGGGGAACAAGCAGCAGTTATATGGCAGATAATGCAAGAAATGCATGAGTGCAACAGGTGCTGATGATAAAACTGCAGACATCCATGGGAAGTTAGCAGTGAGCCTTTACATAGTTGGTGGATCAGTGCTGTTAGGCCGTTTTTGGTTCTGAAACTGAAACATGCAATTGCAGGGTAGAAGAAATACCCATATAAATAATTAGATTATGCCAATAGTAATTAAATACTTATGTTTTGCCATGTTACCTAACAACTACTATAGCTACAGTTGGGTACCACAGTCTTCAGTTCTTTCCTTAGCTTATGAATGTCTTGTAAAGAAGTTGCCTGTATCACCTTGGAAAGAGTTGCAGTTCTGTGGGGAGCAGAATGGTCCTTCTGTCATTTGTAGCTGTTGCCACATGATGCCATGAATATGTTTGGTAGAAGTGAAGAAAATCTTTTTCTGAAATACTTTTATCTGATGAATTTCTTCTATGTATTGCTGTTCTTGGAGCACCAGTTGTGTGAGCTGCCAAACAAAAACTGTCAAGAGACAAAACACTTGTTAGGAAAAAATAGCAACGTAAATGTTGATTATAGATAACAAATAAAGGGGAAGTAAGGAAAAGAATACAAGAGTAGCACTACAGAGATTGAGGTCAATAAAAGTAAGGGTATAACTTTTGATGGAGTAACTTTTTCTTGAGCTTCTGACATCTGTCCCTTATTCCTTGGTAGTAATGAGAGGCTCATTTTTCTTTGGTAGGGTGGTTGTATGCCATCTGGAAGAAGCCTTTTTCCAGACAAAGCTGTTGAAACCCAAAACATTTGTGTGGGTGTGTGTGTGTGCAGTGCAAATGCAAGATCATTCTAAATGATCTTGCAAATGATCTAAATGATCTGCAAATGCAGGGTAGTGCAAATGCAAGATCATTCTAAATTCAATTAGTAATAAAAATATCCTTATTAAGAAGAATTAGTTTTATGCCTGAGTACCCTGGGCTTCACCAGTGTTTTTTTGGTTGGTGTCTCTGCCTCACACTATTGTGTCAGGCGTAATAAAAAGAGGGGAGTGGATTTCTGATGGTAAAGCCAAAATCAATGACATCAGATGAAACAATATAGTTTTGTACTAATCTTAACTGCATATCTAGTAAATGTAATCTTGGAAAGTACAAGGTACAAGATTTCTTGACCTAGTGAGGCAGCATGTGGCCAAGCCCCTGCCAGTTCTACAAGCAGTCTGGCTTGTGCTGGTGGCCTCCTCAGTGCGGGTGTGCAGCTGGCTGACCTCTGTGCCATTGCTTGAGCAGCACAGGGCAGGCAGTGCACCGACTTCTGTCTCTGTGCAAAGCTCCTCTTTGCGTAATGTGAAAAGCTAATGTAGAGAAGCCCCCGTGTTAGCATTTACAGCAATGTGTTGTGGACGATAAGTCTTATTCCCAGAGGGAAAATGGAAGCAGCAGTGAACTGCTCTTTCCTGCTTAGTAATAACTGAGCAGATAAATGTGCCTACCTTAGCATTGCTTCAGGCACTGCTACCTACTGGTTTGTCTTTGAGCCTTAGCTTCCCATGATTTTTTTTTTACCCTCTGGACATGTTCTGAAATAAAAATATTTTATATTTTGCTTATTTATTTTTTAAAATGTTTTTATTTCAGGGCTCCCTTGTCCATATCCCAAAAGCAGCTTGCTCATCCTTGCTCCCTTTTCAAATCCAGCACATTCTGTGGAGTTCATGCCTGATGCTGTTCACTTGCTCTGAGTTTACCTCAGACCAAATTATGCCTTCAGTTGTTTTCATACCATATAACTCCATGCAAGATTTTGATCTTTTCTACTTGCTATTGGAATTACAGAATTATGGAATATTCCTCTTCTATGTGTCTTATTAGATATCTTCCCACACCCCTCCCACACAACAATCCCTCTCCCATCATTTTCATCTCTAATTAGACTTCTGTCCCTGCAACTCCTTTTTTCCTGTAGTCTTTCAGTCTGCACATTTAAACATGTTGGGCGCTGTGTTTGGGAGAAAAAAAGATCATTTGTATTTTGAGCATTTATTTATGGGAATCATAAAAATGTTTAATTCATTTCTCCTGAATAGGATCAGGAACCCATGTGACCTGCATACCTCCTGTGATGTGAAGGTAATTGGTGACATTGTGTAAGTTTTAAGTTGTTCTTTTGACAGTAACGTGGTTGCGAAAAAACAGGCAGAACAGGCAGAGGAGACAGATGACTTCCTCCTCTGCAGTGATTTTTGGATAGGTACTTGAAAGCTACCCTACTTTTCTCAAGTTAGAATCTTTTAAAGAAATGGTCTGAAATTATTGAGCTTTCTTAATTTTTCATTGCAAACTTGTATTTCAGATTACAAGTTCACCTTTATCTAGCAGGGCCTCCCAGAGTAGTTTCATCATTAGACTGAAAGTTTAGCATATCTTTCTTCTTCGAAGAAATGAGGCTGGTTCCAAGACTCAGGCTGTAAGAAAGTACCTTGACAAGTTAAGAAACATTACATATTTACAAATGTTGGAATCTAATGTGAGAAACTGTTGTCATTAGTTTCCTGTCAGTATTGTCAGGGGAAAAAAGAAAGCATCTTGAATGAATCAAACAGCTTAATCTTCTCAATTTATGTTTTTGTTTCTGCAAGATTTTTTTCGTAACAGATCAAAGAATGTGTTTCTTGACATACTTTGGAAGTTATGTGTCTGGTGGTGTATACTATTACTAGATAAGCAATTCCCTTTTGATGTTTCTGTGTAGCTAGCTGCAGCCAACTTTCAGGTCTGTAGATGACTGTGTGGGTGCGGAATAAGTTACCATACTGTCTCTGGGGATGTTGTCAGGAAAGCTGCTGTGCAGCAGGCATTTTGAAGACCTTCTAAAGATTGGCTTCCCTCCCTGCCACCCCAAATCTGTGTGACTAATACTAATGAGTTATAGTTTGTGAGTAGAGCTCTTCAGAAATGTGAATTTTTATTCATTTGGCTGTTGATATCTGTGCAGACTATTTATAAACAATACGGACTTCCAGAAAATGAAGACATTTTCTTTGTGAATCAGTAGGTTATGATGACAAATCAGGAACAAGTAAGGCATTTGAGCTTTCTTTAATAACATATTTTACATAAGCAATTGTTTAAAAGAGACAAGTGTAGTCACCAGGCACCTGAGAAAAGACTGAAGTGTTGGTTGGAGATGTGAGAAGGGTGCAGTTATACAAAACCTTGCAGGTGACTGTGAAGAGAAATTTGGTGCGATTACGTATTGAAGAAGAATGCTGTGATTTCATTGTACTGAAGCTTCTCTTTCTGTTACTGAAACCAGAGATGTGACCTTGTGGAACAAAAGCATTTTATAGTTACACAAATATTACAAAGTGAAGATCCTAGTAACACACTCCAAAATATAGACCAGAAATTGGAGTAGACTGGATTGGCAAATTGGACCATAAAAATATTGTGTGATTGAAACTGGTTTGCTATTTAAACATAAGTGCCAAGTGTAGTGAAATTTTTCTCTTATCTTGAATCTGTAGTTTCAAAGAGCGTGTTTTATATAGAGAGTTCGGTAGCTGCAATGTGCATCCTGTACACACACTTTTTTTTCCTTTCTCTTTGTTTTCATCCTTCAAATTTTTCCTATGTTTCTAACATAATTTAGGATGAAATTAAATAGTTCGTCTTTGCATATAAGAATAACATGACTTAGCCTTTATTGATATGATTTGTTTCGAAATTTTCTTCATATAGAGTATCAGGCTTGGCCTTTAGTCATATTGTGATGAGTACAAGTTGTTTTTTCGCTAGCTGTATTTTGAGTGCTAAAATCTCCACCTCAGCAACTGGTAGGTGTGCTACCCCAGAAGGTGTGTGGGGGCATGGTGTAGGGAGACTTGCAGGCTGTGCTAAGCCAGCAGCATATACTGTCACAAGGCAAATGGTCTTTTCCTTGAAGTTACTCTTTTGTAAGTGACATACCCTAGGGCCTGTTGGAAAGGAAGGTCTAATTTTTATTTATTTATTTATTTATTTTTTGTAGAAGCTCCGCCAAAACCGGAAGAAAAGCCTGCTGAAGCATTCTCTGACTCATCCCTCTTTGCTCACTGGGGCCAGGACCTCAGTCCTGAAAACAGGCGTATTGCTCTAAAGCAGTTTCAATACTACGGCTACAATGCTTACCTGAGCGATCGTTTGCCCCTGGACAGGCCCCTGCCTGATCTTAGGCCTAATGGGTAAGTGCTCTAGTTGAATCTCATACTACATGTCCCCAAGTTCTAGACTCTTTTTCATCTGGAGGTTTTTTGTTATGCGATGTTATATTGGGTGGCCAGAATGAGTCGTCTGTATAAAATGCACAAAGATGGAAAGTTTAAAGTATACACTAAAGTGCCCGACTTAAGTCATAGTAAAGTTCCACTAAGAACCCGTTAAAAGTCCCCCAAGTTACTTGAAAGCTTAATGTCACCTAGAATTTATATGTGACAACCAGTATTTTATTTCTATGGAAATGACCTTTTTATTTAGAATTTTAGTTTTATCTAAAGTTCTGTCTACGAAAAGAAGAAAATAAGAACTACTCTTTTTGAAATCCCAGGACTGTCTAGTAAAGGCCAGTGAGCATGTGAGACTGGTCTGCCACAGTAGTAAAATAAGCAGTTCAGTCAAGCAGTGTGAACCAGCTGGAAGCCCCTGGGGCCTCCAGTGGAGTTTCATTGAGCTGTTTGCTGCTGAAGCATGTGTGTTGGCAGGGTAAATACACGCACTGTTAGGCCATGTGAGCTTGGCGAGGCAGATGGGACCGGGGAATGAACAACCCTCTCTTTAATAGGTTTTAGTCCTTTAGGTTAGAAGCTCTAAATTCTGGTAAGAACCCTTACAGGGAGATTTAAAATGCAACTTTTCTTTGGCCTCCATGTTGCATCTGATCCTCTGAAGTAGTGGATGAAAAAGAATAGTGGGTGTTTCGCAACTCATTTCGTTTTTTAAAAAAATAATTGATAAAAAAGCTACAGATATGTACTGAATTGAACCAATAACCAAGATGTAACACTCTAACCAAATGCTTTAATCACTAGCACAGCAAGCAGTAAATGTCACCATATATTAGTATGGTATGTGAATATATGTCAATTATATTAATATATTGGTTGCATATGTTGGGTATTAGCATACATTAATATATCATCCAATATTAATGGCAAGATGTGAGCACAGTTTCAGGCAACAATTTAGAAATTTAAAATAAACCTATGTTACAAAATGTGATATATGAACATATGTAAATATATATGTGGTTTATTTATTGCAATAACAACCTAAGGTAAATGAAGATATGTGCAATTTTATTTGTCTTGTTGTTAAATCAGTTTTTAGAACTGTCTTTAGGGACAGTCTGTCTCTTCTTGTGATCATAAACTGATGTAGAAATCTTCTGTGACTAACAAAACATCTCTGACAGAAGTATGTCTGCTCTTGAATCTCTCTTGAAATGATTCTCCGGAATGACTTCAAATCAAATATTTTGTAAGTGTAGCTATAAAAAGAATAAAAAAGAGAAAATGAATATTCCTGAAGCTGAAGGAGACAAGTTGTGATTGGGATTTTGAAAGAAATTCCAGTTCGAAACAAACAGTGGTCCTGTTTGGACCTTCGTTTCGATAGAAGTTTTGGTCTTCAATTATCTGCCAAAATCAGTTGAGGCATTACAACATGTTTGTTGATACATGCATACAAAATAATAGCTGAATGCTGGTAGTCCAGGAATATTCCCCCTCCATCTCCATCATGGTTCAGGAACAAGTGGATAATCTGACACTGAAATTCTGAACCTGGGGAAAACAAACTGTTTTCAGACAGTATGTTTACTGTTCAGTGTGTATGTACCACACTGTGGGACACATTGCAACACATTATTTTGTTGTTGAATTTCAGGGGAAGGAAGAATTTCTAGTCCTGTATGTGAATTCTTATTTACATGAGAGAATTCCTCTAGCTATTGCAGGAAGAAACTTACCCTCTGTGTTTTTCTTTATACTCACCCATTTTTAGAATTGCTAGCACCTATTTATAAAGCCTATTGCATTAGTCATTTCCAGACTCTATATAGATACATGTAAAATCTCTAGGGGCAGACCTAGACTTGAGCAGCATAACTTGAAAGCTAAGAGCAGCTTGGTCTGAAAGGAGCACGCAGTTGTTTCAAGTGGCGTGGAAGCTGGACCTTAGCCAGTGCATATGAATCTGTTGTTATTAACGGATCTGCTTAAGATGCACTTTAGACATTTGCTGGCACATAGTAGGCAATCTGGCTGCTTGTGCATACATGTAGAGGGGAGTCAGGCAATTAAGCTTAAATCAGTGTCTTTTCGTCAATGCTAATATATATTGTATTCTAAAGTAGTTGTCTTGTTCTCGAAAATGATTGAGCAGTACATTTAAGACAATTAAAATTCCTTCTTCAAGCATTGCACCGTAAAATTGGGCAAGAAAGCACATCATGAAAGCCAAAGCAGAAATGGATGCAGGAAGGGAACTGACATTACAGAATACTAAGAAAAAATGTAATGTGTATGCTTTATGTTTGAGCTACCTTATTGATAACTCAAATAACAGCTAACAGATATAGATCTCTATTTCCTTATCGAGATTATATGCCTCTGTTCCTGCAAAGCCTCTTGATATCAAGAAATACAATAGACCTTTTTATATCATTCTGGTATGACTCAGCTGCAAACTTCTTGTTCCTTTCTACAGTGTTCTGACAGTTGACATCAGAATAACTTAATGGAGGAGTTCAGCATCTCTTTGCAAGGTCCTGAAATCAGAGATGCCTTTCCACATACATAATCACCACAAATTATAGCATAGAGGATTTTCTGATGTTGATTTTTGCTAACCTTTAATGCAATCAAAATATCAGAGGATAATAAGAGATTGCTGAACCATAAACACACATGTAAAAAAAAAAAAAATCAGTCAGAAAGATCCCATGCATGGACTACAGCTTGGTCAAGCACAGACTGTGCAGATTGTGGCTCCTGTTGCACCTTGCAGCTGGCCTTTTTTTTGTTGCAGGTAGTGCACAGGTGTGAGCATAGTGTTCTGTGGCTGTAACTTTCAAGATTTCCTCACTTGCACTGTGAATGTTTACACCAGTGCAGTGCACTCCCCAGACTAGGTTGTGACTCTGCAATCTGTTGCAATACAGGTTATAATAAATAATTCTCATAGATATTCAGACCTCCTGAAATAATAGTCTGGCAATAAGCACTGAAGTAGTCTCAGAGTAGTTTGGTTAGATACCAAAAAAAGCCCAAAGAAGACGGTCTGATTCCTTTGCAAAGAAGGGCCTTGCCCATTTAGTAACTACTTATAGTTTCAACCAGTTCACCACTTCCAAGATGTATTGCTTAAAGGATCGATCCAGAAAGGGGAACAGTGGTAAAAGCCTTGAAGAGGATCAAGATTAGGCTGGTGATAAACTGGCCTCAAGCAGAGCAACTGGGATAGCCAGTGCGTGCAGCTATGAATACAGGGTGGCAGAGAAAATGATCAGCTTCGTTACCACGGTTCAATTACCATTTAAAATAGTGATAGCAGTGAAAGAGGAAATGAAGATTCATCACAAAATGAATCAGTAAACATAAATAGTTGAGCCACAGTTCTTATAAAATCTGTATCTTTTTGCAAGGATTTTAGTGACATTTGTTTTATTTATGCCAGAAATCCGAAGAATAGACTTTTCTTTCCTCTCATACATCTTGACTTTCTGTTTGCCATTTTGGCTGATGACACAATGTTACCAAGTCATGGAGATAATGCAGTTCTGTTTCTGCTTGTGCTTTTGAAAAATTCTGTTTGAACTAAGGCGTCCTGCTGGATGAGTTTTTAGGAAGAATAGCTTACCATTCCCTCACTCTCCCCGCCCCCCCCAAAAAAAAAGAAAAAATTGCAATTTCTTCTCCATTATACTTATGCACAGTTGCAGAAGATCTCAATATAAGTTACTAATTCATTTCTTTTAGAGTTTTTTTTTTAGACTAATTTTAATGCAACTGACTGAATTGCTTTAGCATAATGTATATATTCTGGATTAATATATTTTTTCCAAGGCACAAATATCTGAAAGAAGATTTCTAATGTATTTTCTCCTCCATTTACCAGAGTTGTGCTTGATATAGAACACCAGGAGTTCCTCTTAATTCCTGGTAACCATGGCAACTGTTCCTTTAGTGTTATTAACCCAATGGAATTGAATAGAGTTGGTTGCTGGAGGTATTTTTTTCAGCTCCATGGTGATATTTGCTATTATAATTATTAATAATATTTTAAATCTACTTTTAAGAATCATTTAATCATAATACTGAAATATGCTCAATACTTGTGTGAATTAGTTACTAGTGATAGCCACAATTTGCAGAGTAGTGTCTGAGGTGCAGGCAGGTTAGGAGGTTAGTCCAAGGGCCTCAAATGAGTCAAAGGCCGAGCTGTCATTAGAACTCCCAGGTTCCTTGTTGCCATGCAACCAACCAATTCTTAGCAATTACTGTATCTAAGATTTTGAGGAATACAGTTTCATCCCTTTGTATACTCTTCAGTGTATGTTTGGCTTACACGTGTAAGTGTTCGACTTGTAAACTTTTTCTATAGCTGTTTCTTCTTCATTTCTAGAAAGATGGAATCCTATTCCACATGACATATAGCATGAAGCTATATGTGAATATATATATATGAATATATAAATCACATATATAAATATGAATATATATATATGAATATATATATGTATATATATATGAATGCTTATTTGTGAAGCAGTACAAATTCTCTGTTTTGTATGGAGTCCCATGTATATTTGTTTAATTGTTTAATTCCAATTTATTAACAACAATAAAAAATAATACAACAAATTATTAACAACAATGAAAAAGTAGATACTCTTTTCTTTTGGTATGGAAAAAACAATATAAGAAGGTAAAGATAATTAATGAGTCTGATTTTGGGGGGAATGGGAACTCAATTTAGGAATATATCTGCTTTGAAAAAGATTGCGTTTGATAAGGACTAAAGAGGTTAGACATGATGGGATCCTAATTATGTTCTGTTGATCTTTCACAGTTATCTTTTGCCACATACTGTGGCAAGATAGGAGTCATATGTCATTTTCTCTTGACTTTGCTTTTCATTTTAAAAGACGCAATGGCAATGGAAAATCCTGTCCAGTGTGATCTGATTGGGGGGGGCGGAATTACTGAATGCAGTCAGGAAAATGATACAAATCACCTTAAATGGAAGTAAGAAGCATCAGAAATCTGGTTTGAGCATTTCAGTTGATGCCAGTGTTATGATAAGAGTCACGCAGGGGGGATGGAGGGCGTTTGTTCATCCGGAACAGAAGATCAGTTCTGCCTTGCTCTAGTTGTTTTCTGAAAGATCGTTTAAGTCTTTTATTGGAATAAAAATACTCGGGTTCCTATCTCTATGAAAGGGCCTATGGTGGTGAATAAAATTGAGGGACCACAGGCCTGCATGGGAAAAGCTCTTAAGCACTCTAAATTAGCATTTTGTATATTAATTGCCTGAGCAAGTTCCCTGCTTAACACAGTGATTTATTTAAACACCTTCAGCGCCTCGTTTTGCCTGCGTTCCTGCTTTCTTACCTTGTGTGTGTGCTTCTCAGCAGCTATGTGCTTTACAGGCTACATTCAATTTTGCTGAAAGTTGCAGAACTTGGGTTTCCTCTCTGAACTGAGTGATAGATCCTTTTAGAAAACTTTGATGGCCAGTAACACCCACCAAAACCACATGGAATCATAATTGCACCCACTTGAAAAAGCCATATATAGAGAAGGTCCAAACATAAGCTTTTGTGAAGTTGTAGCCACTGATTTTTGAAGAATGATGAAGTTTTATTATGAGTTGTCTTCAATGAATTGGCATTCATTTAAAAAAAAAGATAGTGGGCTATAGGTGACACTTCCACAAGCTGTTACATTTTTACCTGCTCTCTCACTCAAAAAGGGATGTTCTTTCAGATCTGTTGAAAGCTTCAAATAACATATTTCTGGTTTGGCTTACTCTTATTGGTAGAAGTAAGAGACTACTTACTACCTAAATTTTTTAAGACTGTGTTTTCTATTTGCATGTCTGTATAATTCTTTCATGTGGTGATTCAGGAAGAAGGGCCTAAATGTGAACGAACTGCTGAATTTTGAATATTATCCATGTCTCTGTCTTTCTGGATATCATGTGACCCTTCTTCCTGTCACCCTCATCCTTCTAGAAGCTTTAAAACCATGTATCATCATCTTGACCAAATTAATTTTTATGTGACATCTGGCATGGGAAGAAGAATATTTGCTCGCGGCTTTCCTGGATTGTGTCTGCAGATTAAATAAATTCTAAAAAGCTCTGTGCTTTCTCTTCTGATTGAAGATCAAATTAAGTGATGATGTTTAAGCAGGCTTTGAGAATTGTGAATCCATCCACAGCCCCTTTAGCAGCTCCTGTTTGGAGTGAATCTAGGCATCTGCAAAGGTAGCCACTTCAGCGTAGTCTGGAGACAGAGAAGGGCATTGACAACAGTTATTTGCATCTACAGAACATATCTGGAAATGGCTGCTGATTCAGCCTGTGGCCTCAGTCCTATTGGAAAGGAAATAGCTGCTCTGAAATAGACTATTCTTCATCCTAGTAAATAATTTCATATTTGAGAGAGAAAAAAGGGAAATTAACTGTTGTTCATAAATGTGACATTAAACTGCTAAAAGTTTCAGAATAAATTAGTTGATTATTTTCACTTAATAAGCTTCTGCTTTTATTAAAAAGCAAACATTTGTCACAAAAGATACAAGTTGGAAGAAGGACTTTCTACTTCTCATGAAAATGTAGAAGTTGAATCCTTTCTGAAATGAAAGAAAAAAAGAAAAAACACTGAACAACTTTGAAGTGGTAGGCAGCTCCTTCACAACACTGTTTGCATCAGCAGCTGGGAACATGGTCAAAAAATAAATAAAACACTTGCAGACAAACGAACCAGGCCATGCAAGTATTCCTCATTCAACTTAAAATTCTTTAATGAGTTTTCAAAAGTCAGTACCTATCCTTCTATCTGCTTTTCTGGATACTCTGTCTGTCTTAGATCTTGTAACAGGATGTTCTTTTGAGCTGGGTCTTTCACTGTGTTTTTACCAAAGTGAGAAAGAATAGCCTGATCTTGATGGGAATTGCTGGTGAATTCTGCAGCAAAAGTAATTATCTTGCTATTGAAGATGCTTTTTGAGGTTTGAGGCTAACTGTTTTGTCCTATCTCTGCTGTTCAGAAAGGCACTGTGAATAACTGCAGATGGGAACTGCATTTAGACAGGAGTTTACATTTGGTTTGCAAGATATTTTTCACTGCTTGAGGTGTTGAGTTGAAAAGTGAATTCACTCTAGGCTTTGATTGCACAGGCTGTTTCAGGAGAAACTGTTCTCACCTCTTTAGATAGGTGATCACCTGCTTCTTGCCTGTGCTTGCTCTGAGCAGGTGTGGGGACCTTCTGATCTCTGCCTACAAAAACTCTTTTGCCGTTGTTATGGCTGGGAATAGATTTTGTTTTTTTTTTTTTTAATCTGAACCTGTTTGTGTTGACAGTGTGACTTCCGACAGCTTACATCCTTATCTTTCACCTTTTTCTTCAGATGCAGAAACCTTACGTTTCCTGACAGGCTCCCCGAGGTCAGCATTGTATTCATATTTGTTAACGAAGCGCTCTCAGTGATTTTACGCTCCATCCATTCTGCTATTGACCGGACTCCTGCTCACCTGCTCAAAGAGATTATTTTAGTGGATGATAACAGTAATAATGGTAAGAGTTGTTGATTGAATTTTTTTCATACAGATGAGATCATAGGTAAGAATCTTGCATCGTAGCTCTGAGTCATGCCATTAGCATTTCAAATAATGTCAGCATATTTTCTCTCTCCCTTGTTCCACAGCCTGCTGGGCTTTGTCTTTAATCACACACAAGTGGGACTTGTATTATGTGTTTTATATATTTATATAAAAAGCATGTGTACAAAAATACAATGTTTTTCTATACTTTAAGGTTATGTTAAGTAAAACAGTGTCACTGGAGATCAGAGACCTAAGAAATATGTTTTACGCTTTGTAGAGCTCCAGTATGCTTTGAAGGTAGCCTGCTTTTTTGTGCTCTTCTGTTTCATATGTGTGCTTCCGTGTGCTTACTCACTTTTGCTCTTTTGTGTAAAGCATCTTCCTGTGTTTCTCTTCTTTAGATACATTCTTTAGATTGCTATTTCCTTCTCTCTCTTTTTGCCCTACTCTCTCCTTTCATTTTGGCTGTTGTCATTTAGATGGTTTTGGCTGTTCATTTGCCTTGCTGCTTTTCTGCCATATGTCTTCAAACAGATTTTCCTCTCCTTGGTGTGAAGGACTGGACTTTTCCTTTCTGGTGGCTCAGTGCTTGTCTAGGTGGTTGTCAGGCCATGCTGGGCAGTGTGTATGAGTTTCGTTCTCTGACTAGATTAATAAAGAAATGTTAATCATCTGTACACAGGATGCTGAAATTATAGGAAGACTTGTCTCTGCTGGGGGGTTAATTTTGATCTCCTAAAATAATTTTGAATTCATCCTGCTCAGGGAGAATGATAAATACATGTTTTCTCCTGTCCTTGCCATCATTATAGCTGCTAGGTAATCCCTGTGGCTAGATCCTGGGGCTTGCTGCTAGTCACAGTTTTGCGTCAGTTTTGTATAGAACAGAAATTTAGTAGGAAGTTAGTAAATATCTTCTCCTCTTAAGGATATATGTTTCTGCACCTCCTCTTCTCTTGGCTATCAATGAAAGAAAAGGTAAAATCCTCACTCCTTAAAATCATACCACCCAACAACTTTATTTAAGTTTTTATCAAATCTAATTCCATTCCCAGCGAATAATGCTACATTTAGAGTCACCTACAGCAGACAAAGCTTTTCTTGAAACATCTGCTCATGGAACAGTGTGGGTAAATTAAGACACAGGATTTATGGGTTGTTTTTCTTAGTTTATGGCACAATTTGTGATGTAGCAGTGGGGCAAAATAAAAGAAAAATCACATGCAACAGCAAACAATGAGAGAGGTTAAAATCATGCATGTGCTCGCACACTCGTGGTTCAGAAACATATATGTGGTTCAGAAACATCTTGAATTCGATGAACGTTGAATATATTTTCAAGTACACTTTCCAAGTATATTTCAGATGCCACTTGACACATGATTTTACTGATGTACTCTTTCTGGCCTTAATTTCCCCCTTCCTCTTGCTCATGAAATAAACTAATTTGATGGGGTAATATTTGAGGTACAACTTCAGTTAATAGACTTGTAATTAAAATGCTTGTAAAAATTATTCCAAGCATCTTTTAAATAGGTCCTTTTAATATGCCAAGAGCTGAATGAATTTGGCTGGGGTTTGGTACTGCAGTGCCTCTGTCCGCAGAGGAGCTTGGCCACAAGAAAGCCAAAGAAGAAGAAAAATGATCTGTCTGAAAAAGTAATTTTCAAGGATTCCTAGAGCTTGAATCTGATTTTATAGAATTTATTGACAGTTACACCAGTAAGTAAATTGTGGAGAAATGTCAGAAATGTCAGTGTTCCTGAGAGCCCAGCTGTCATTACAGCTGTCTCGCATGCACTTTTTGCTGTCCAATCTGTGGGCTTGTCAAAACTATTCTTTCCATATTTCTTATGCGAAATAGATTAAGAAATCATAGGAACCAACTAATCTTTAGAAAGACTCATTCAACCACATCTTGTATTAAAACCAGTGTTAGTACTGTACAGTACCCTATTTTATGATTGTGCTGTTTATTCAGTCTTATCTTTCTTACTCTCCTATGCCACAAATCCTTAGGTTTTTAACCTCAAATAGGAAGACAGGAAGGTAGCCTCTGCTTTGGCTGCCTTAGCTTGATGTTATGTGTTGTTCTATACAAAATCATGTTGTGCAGAACAATACTTCATCTTCTAGAAAATGTCAAGCCCAGCCAGGATTTTCTGCTGCTCCTCTCACCCCTTTTGTGGTGCCTGTTCCCTGCAGTTGAAAATTAGATTCCTGCAGTCCTCTTTATCCTATAATATATGCTGAGGATCTGGTGACAGGCATCCTTTTGGGGAGGATGGACAGTAGATGGCAAAGGGAACAATTCTTAAGATGATTTATGAGTTTTTCTGTTATTAGTTTAAATCTTAAAATATTTATTTCACAGTGTAGACTTGCTTTTACAATATTGTATTTTCAAAATTTTTGTTCTCCCCTCTAGCACCACTGAAACTAATTCTTTAGTGTCATTCTTCTTTTTTTTCTGTTGTTATTAGTGTCTCTTTAGCTTGTGAATATTGCTGCCTGTAAGATAACTGTGTTAGTTTGGGTTTACCTGCATTGTTACCTGAGAGGGTACAAGCTTAATTTGTGCTTGCATCTGGCTCCAGGCTCTGTCTCTTGTAGAGGCATGGCAGAAGCCTAGTTGTGAGGAATGTGTTTGCTTTCAAACGTTTAATGAGGAAGCAGTCTTCAGAACTTGCTGTAAGATATTTTTTAGTGATGCCACAGACATGGATCTTACAGGTGGGAAACATTGCAGTATAAGCAGTGACTGGATAAAGCAATTTCAATCAGGCAAAGTGCAGATGAACACATTTTTAATTTGAGTCTTGTGCGCTATTTGATCGGATTCACCTGGTATATTGGATTAACATAAAAGCAGATGTGATGAGTGGCACTACCAGAGGGTACGTGTCTTGCCAAGTTCCAAGGGTAAAGTGGTGTTACTTCTTGCTGTGGGACATATTCCATATCTTCTTCTGAACACCTCTTCCCCTCCCCCCCCCAATTTCAGTTAATCTGGCCTTCAGAAAAAACAAAACAAAACAAAAACAAACACACAACACCAAAAATGGAAGAACTGGTTGCTTCTTAAAATGACATCAACGTGACCTCAGAAGCAGTGTATTAAGTGCATGACCAAAGTCTGCACTTTTTATGCGTTTAAGTTACAATATTTTATTGCATGCACTTCAGGACAAGTCAAGCAGATTATCTATGACTTCTTCTAAACCCAAGTGCAGTTATTTAAGTTCTTAATTATGTTTCAGGAGACTTTAATCTCTTTGTGAAGCTTCTCCTTTTTTAAAATAAATGTTTGAAGTTAGGATATCATGCAAATGCCAACCTGTGCCATTTAAAAGCAGAAAATGGATTTAACAGATCATCGTTTGTTTTACTAAAGCAGTTCACATGGCTTATTGTATGCATTTCGCTCTACCATGGAAACTCTACTCTTCCCATGGAATTCTGATAATCACGACATCTAAATGTTTTGTATTTGCTGTCAGGTAGGTAGCTATTATTTACTTTAGTTGAAGTTAAAAGTGCATTGGTGACTGCTCATGTTCTTCAAAACAAAAATAAGAAATTAATTTTAAAAAAAAACATAGATGAGCATTTTTCATTCTGGTCTCAGTTGGACTGATATACACAAAAGTAACCTTGATTTAGGCTGTCTTACTGCAGTTTCTGCTATCAGATGAGAATTGTTCTTGTTCTGCTCAGGATTGCTGCTTGCCTTTCAGAGATGAGGAGCTCCTTAGTTTATAAGTTGGCAATAAAATATTTATTCATTTTGATTTCAGAAGTGGCGCAGGTTTCCGAATGATACATTCGAATTGAGAGGGTTTTGCAAAGATAAGTCATTAAAATGCCTTTAAGTGACCAAGACTGCTGCGAGTTAACTAATCCTCAGAAACATATTTAGAAAAAGCATTCCCTGACCTGGCAACTACAGAAATAGTGTTTTGCGCAGACTGTTGCTTGTTCCATCCTGCTCAAGGGGAGGAGGGTGGTGACCTTCTTTACTAGTGGCAAACTGTCTTGGCTTTTGAGTAGTCTTTTTGCTGGCACTGAGCTTTTCTACATTGTTGAGAGCCTTTTAGTGATATTTTCAGCTGATTAGAAATCTATTTTAAAAAGTTGTTGTGAACTATGGCGTGCACAGCTTTGTGGCATGGCAGTGTGCATTAGTGTGTGCGAGGTATTTTTTATAAAATTTAACATAGCAAAAATTTTCTTTCTCTGTGGCATTTTTTTTATTAAAATCATAATGAATGTTTCAGTAGGCTCAGATTTCATAAGATTTCTTGCTTTTCCTTTTAATCATTTCTTATGAATGAAATGTGCTAACATGTTCAGCTTAATAATTCTCATTCTTTGCCCAGAGATTTCCATTATCACTGCTATTGAATTGCAGTAAGAATGCTGGCTATCCCAGCACGCTAATTTTATGACTGGCAGTGCTGGAGCGTAGTAGTAGTGAGAGGAGAAAGGTGGGACACATGCAAGTGCATTGCCTCTGAGAGATTTGCAGCGTTGTCCTCAAAACATTGAATAGAAAGCTTTTCAAAAAGCCTCCAGAAACAATGTTTTCATTAGAAACCTGTATTTCTTTGCTAGTTATCTTTTAAAAGATATTTCAGAATAGAAGATTATCTAAATTGTTTTCTTAACATAAGTATTGATTAATAAATGACCAAAGTACTATCCAAATGCATGTTAGATTTCCTGTTGTAGCATGACTTGAAGGCAGTTTACCTGCAGATCATACAAAATCAAGTGCTGATTTTTATAAACTCATTAATAAATCTTCTGGGGAAGTTTTTAGGGATTGCTGTGCTTCTATTTGGCTGCTGCTTCAAGCAAGGGGAATTTTTTTCCTCCTACTTCAACCCCAGCAAAACATGAAGGCAAATAAAAACATTTAACAAACAAGGAAAAATCAAACTTTTTTTGGCCTTGTACTCAGTTTGGGGC